AAGTGAGGAATGCCAGGGGAAATGTGTTGGAGGAGCATCCTCAAAATAGCACCACTGGCCTCAAAATACTCCACAGCACACCAAGTGACGCCATAGGCCTCGGCTAGCCCAGCACCAACCCGAAATTCTTCGTCGTTGTCCGTGTCCCAGGACCATGCTCCCAGGTTCACTATTATGTCTGTCCTGACTCCAGCCTGTTGTTTTGATCCAAACCAGAAATACCATCAAATTCTGCCTGAGTAATTTTGCTTAGTTTGAGATAAAAAGCTTAGCTCGTTACCAGGTGGGAAACATCAAGACAAAGTGTGCTTAGTTACATATATATATATATGTATGTATGTATGTATGTATGTATATATATAAGCAGTTCGGTAGATATATTTACCTGTAAAAGGAGTCTAACAACATTTGTCTGCCGGCTAACAATGGCAGCAACAAGCGCATAACAATTGACAGATGCGTATAGAGATGGCTGGGAAGACTGAAGCAGCAAACGATCAGTTGCATTGGGGTCCACTCCACACTGCTAACAATCAAGATCATATCTCTGTCATCACGAAATTATTATTGTTCAAGCAAATAAACGTTTCTTTTGCACATGAACTTCCAACAAGCCCCCTTTTACTACAATTTTAGGAAGCAGAATGGAATGACACTCACAATTTATCATGAGATCTTTTCCAATCTTCTTGGTGGTTCCTCACATTAAAATAACAGTTTGGCAAAACTCAAAAGAAAACAAGCCTAAAATCACGCACTAAAAATTTGCAAGTCATGGAAAATAAAGAAAAAAAAAAAACAAGGAACCGTGGTCTTTTGGTGCCTAATACAAACCTTGATAAGTGCAGAAACCACGTCGACGAACCCTCGGCAGCTGGCGGAAACAAGAGCGTGAACGGCGACAGGAGAACGGATCATGTCGGACGCCATTAGGATCTCGGCATGCCTGGCCAGTCCCAAGTAGCTCGCCTCCAACAAAGCCTCCTCACAAGCCTGCTGAGACGCCGCACAACTTATCAGAAGCTCTAGTATCTGCGTGTGGCCTTCTCTCACTGCTGCTGTCGTCGCATAGCCTCGAAACAGTTTCTGGTTCACATTGGCTCCAACATTCTGCGGACACATTCATTCACAAAAATCAAATCACTCAGGAAAAAAAAAATCTTTCTTTTATTTATATTATTTTTTTCAAAGTGTTAGAAATAGTTATTGTTGGATTTTTCTGGTTCTGGTGATTGGTCATACCGAAAGAGATCTTTAGACGTCACAAAATCTTTTATTTTGGTGTTATTGAGGATAAACTTTCGCAAAGAAAGATTCTGAAAACCGAAAGAATTTACTTACTGAATATTCTTCCTGCTTATTTCTCGCGTCAGTTACAAAGTACAAATATTCCTTATATATTGATGGTGTCAATGAGAACGGTATATTTCAATAAGTAGTATATTTCATCAAGTAATAACGATATTTTCAAACGCAATAAGCATTATTATCCATTATGTGAAGAATGGTATCAATGAATCTTTCTATTTTCATTTTGTTGAAAAAACATATTGAATTCAATAGCTAAAAAAATTCACAATTAAAGCAGACAGAAGCTAAAACAAATTCTATTGTTCTGTCTGAATGGCCTTACAATATCATTAGGGTCCTTCTAGTACAAATACTGCTGCATGAATTCATATTACAAAAATTTTAAAAGTGCTGAAAGAGCAAAATAAATCTTAGTGGGCATTTGGTTTATGGATTCACAACTATTCTAATTTTAGTGTATTTTTGTGAGAGACTAGAATTATAGATGAATACATGAGACACACGTCCCCTTATTAGTCATAAGAAAGGAACAAAAAAAAAAGCAAAAAATTCAATTCAATTCCCTCCGATCACATTCAAGATGAAAAAAAGAAAAGATGTAAAATATTTGTGTCCAGCAATATATAAATAAGTTTTGAATGGTTACGTCTACGTACATCTCAAACAAGCGCGAAAATACTTACGAGTAAGTTCCGAACGAGTCCGAGATTCCCGGAGTGAGCAGCGAGGAAGAGAGCGGTGACATCGGTGTTGAACTCCTCGTACTCAACGTGGACCTCGTGAGCTAACTCGCCGTGCAAGGCGATCTCCGTCCTCTTCGACCTCAGCCTCACCGTCCCCACGAAGTTGACGTCGGCGAAAGGATCGGCCATCCACTCGTACGCCGCCTTCGCGTCGTTTGCATGGGCCGCGTCCACCAGGCGCTGCGAAACCTCCGCTTCGTAGTCGACCGGAAACACCTGCAGTTTTCCCGCCATGTTGGAGTTTCCGAACACCGTCATTCGTGACCGGTCTGTGACTTTACCTTACCCTCTCTCTCTCACAGTCTCTCTCTCTCCTCCTCCTCCTGCTGAGTTTATTTGTAAAAGACGTTTGGCGTAAGGAAGAAGCTTGGCTTACTAGAAGTAGAAGACTCTCAATACGGGGAAGGTTTTTATTTTTTTGACCTCGTCTGGTCGTGATAGACGTAAAGCTGCGGGGTCCACTGTTTCAAATTTAAGATGAAAATAAAAAAAATAAAAATAAAACTGTGTACTTGTGAATTTCGTCTAGGTGGTTGCAACAAGCCAACAAAACATGAATTTCATCCAAGCTTCTGATCTCTTTAAAATTTGCTAATTCATTCGAATTATGCCTAAAGATCTTTTTTGTATTTATTTCTGCCTTGTAAGCTGGAAGGAATCGAAATTTGTTTAAGAAAAGAGTGAAAATAATTGAGTATATGGATATAAAAAATAAAATACCTATTAATAGGGTTTTTGTTAAATTAAATATATTTTTTGTAGAGTACAAAACCTTAAAATCACGGTAGAATAAGAGTCTATTTAATTCGTTGATTTAAGTTTTTAATTTGAGTTAATATATGATTTTATGTGAGAATTTTTTATTATAATAAAAAAGTTATATATGATAGTTTCTGAGAGTTTTTTATTATAATAAAACTCGAACGGATTCTTTATTGTAAAAGGGCCCAAAAAATTTATGTATTGTATATAAAATTATCTCAGTTCATACTGTAACGTAAGTTTCAGAAAATTACTTATAAGCCTTGGCTTTCCGAGGCAATTGAAGTATATTATAGTAACGTTTCCCCCTTTTTTTTTTTTCTTTTGGGAAGACGAATAATTAGGCCGATTTGAGGAAAAAGAATAGTAGTGATTAGTATACTTAATGTTATATATCACATTCATTACATCATTTGATTTGATGGTAATCCAATTATGAGAATCGGTGTAGATTAGATCAATTAAATCGAATGAATCAATAACAACGTGATTTTTGCCTCTCGTTTTCTATATTCCAAATTATTGGATGGGGGGTCCCATTAATTGGTCGATATTTGAAATGGCCTTCGAATTATAGAAGAGAAATGCAAGTTGTTAATCTCTTCTTTAATTCTCTCTCTCCTTTTTTTTTTTTTTCAGTGTGGAAAAATAAAAGCACTAGTTATATATACGTAACATATTCTTCCAAAGTTGTCCCAGAATTTGCATAAATTCATTTGTGTTGAACAATATTCTTGCCAAACACATTTTGTTACTCGAATTTGTTCTGATAATATTGATTAATTAGCAAATGCAAACATCAAGCCGTAAAATCTTTGATATTAACTCCATAATTTAATAGTGAGAAGGGACATAAGATTATTTATACCGTTAATGGTAGTTCTCATTGTCTCGGATATCATATCTCACAGAATGCTTTTTTACAATGCTTGTATTTTGTACTCAGCCATGGCCGGATTTGGCCTGCATTTGTGTTGGACTTAATAGTGCGTTACGAAGGAATTGAGAGGCTGTTTGGTTAGAAGATTCGTTCCCTGATTCGAATCATGGTTCGTAGTTCGTTACAGTATTTTTTTCTCACAAAAAATACACATAAATAAAAAATAATTCTAATAACATGATTCTAATTCATGAACCAAACGTCTCATAAGTAGAACGACATTATTTCTTATGGTAAGTGGCTCAATATATAGTACTTGAAAACAAAATTACTTTACAACGTAGATATATAGTTGTTGTCTTGTTCTTTACGAAAGAAGAGAGAGAATAAACAAGTGGGAATATTTGGTGGCCTGCCGTCTATCCGCTCTCTTCATTAACAACTAACCGAAAAAAAGCAAAAAAATGAGTATGACGAGGTATAGATTGATAGGAATATTTGTTGCCAAGACTGTCAAAGATAGGAATATCTGTTGCCAAGCGCTGTCAAACAGATACTCGCGTCGTGAAATTTTGTTTTGTTTTGTTATGTTATATATATATATATATATATATGAATTGACACCACCCCTTAGGGAAAAAAACCAAAAATGCCGCAAAATAGGATAAAAATATATTGTTTACAACGCATTACTCAAAACTAAATAATTATAATTTAATTAAATAAAATATAAAAGGTCACAATAGCAACTCAATTATTTAGAATAATATAAATAATATGTTTGTATAAAACGATGTATTTTTCTCTTTTGTTGCCGATGGATGCTCATAGAAAGAGTCCAATAGATAAAAATGACAATTCAACATTTCAAACGAAAAAAAAGTATCACATGAACCTAGTTTATAGAGATAATCTCTGCCCAAATGGGTTAACAATGTGAAAATGATAATTTTAATAAATACCCATTAAAAATTTTTAAGTCTCAACAGTCGTATCTTTTTAGAGTAAGTAATTTAATAAATTATTATCAATAATTTAACAAATGTTGCCTGTAATAGGTCTCCAGTCGCCTGTAATAGACGTAATTTAACAATTTATTATCTAAAATTTAATAAATTATTATTTATAATTTAATATATTATTATTAAAATGTAGGTTATCACATACTAAAACTCTAGAAAGAATGTGTTGAAGGTCAGTTTTTGCAATTTTCTCATGTGGGAAAGGAACGATGTGAGCCCAGCCCAAAAAGTTTCTGACATGAGCGCAGCAGATCCAAGTTCGCCAATCACAGACAACCGCTGATCAGCGGCCCAAAGTGAAGCACCCCAAAATGTCTCTACGTGTTATCTACGCTCATCACAAAACGACAGTCAATCTCAACCACTAGATAGACTACTTTAATTCCGAGCAATGCATTCTCACCGTCGATCTTGCATACTAACGTCCGCGATGGCAGGGAACTTTTTCCTACCTGCATAATCTCTCGCTCTCGTCCATAGCCCGATTCAGTGACTGCATCGAGGTTCCTCTGCAACATCTTCCCATGGTACGCAATCGACCTCCTTCTTAGCATACATTTCTCAATTATCATTCTCATATAGAACTAATTAAATAACGAAAAAAATAAAAATAAAAATAAAATCTCAGCCCTTCGTTTAAGTGCATTTTGCAAAAAAAAAAAAAAAAACCCTGGAGCTCAGATAGATCTCATCAGTACGAGCACCGTCGCGAGCGGATTTCAAGAGACTCCATGGTTGGTTTTTCTGTTTGTAATTTTTGTTTGGAGTAGAAATTGGGCTGACCATAAGTTGGGATTTTTTTTTTTCTTTTTGGGTGGTGGAAAACCTAGTCTTCGAGGAGGTGTGGACGTTGTTTCTGTCGTAATCGTTCATTTCCCTTTGCTTCTGTGATGGGATAAGTCTTTGAAATTTTTATCTGAAGTTTAGTTTATGAAAGAGAAATTAGTTTGTGGCATTCGTTTTATTGTGGAATTTGTTTGATTTTTGACAATTGCCATTGTGATTTTTGGTTGACAATAATTGCTATTGTGATTAGTCTGTGTGTTTAGCTATTTGTGAAACTTTTTGTTAATTATTGTGATTAGTCTGTGTTTAGCTATTTGTGAAATTTTTTGTTGATTATTTTTTGCAAGATTGATATTAGTTTGGTTAATTCGGCATTTGTTGTGAATTGGGTTGTGTGATTTGTTTGACATCGTTAGAAGTTCATATTTGTGACATTTTTTTGAGATTTGTGAAATCAGTTTTAAATTTGTTGGAAATAGGTGTAATTATGTGTTGTAAAATGTTTGTTTTTTTTTTTTCTTTAATGATTTTTTGTTGATATCAGAATTGCAAGCAATATGGCCACAAATATTAGACTGTAATTTTTATCGTCATATTATGACTTATTTTGGCCTATGTAATTTTTGTCTATACAATCTGACTTATTTTGGACTATATAACTGTTATATTGATGTTGTGACTTACTTTGCACTATATAACCGTTATTGATGTTATGACTTACTTCACCTTGACTAGACAAAACGCTTTGGTTCCTGATTCCGCCATTTAAAACTATGTTATGAACTGTTGTTGCTATATTTGGGGCTTGTAAACGTATCTAATTCCTTTCTTTGATGATGCAAAACACACGCAGGCACCCATTAGGGGCATCCTTTCTCTTAAAAGGGTAGCTTTGGCTCGGCATCACAATCAGAAGTGGACAACTTGCTTCAGATCATTTAGCACTCAGGGCCCAACAACTCCTAGCACCCAGGGTACAGCAACTCCCAGCACCCCTCAACCGCCACCACCTCCCCCACCGCCTGAGAAAACTCATTTTGGAGGCTTGAAAGATGAAGACAGGATTTTTACCAACGTGTATGGGTTGCACGACCCTTTTCTCAAAGGGGCTATGAAAAGAGGTGATTGGTATCGAACCAAAGATTTAGTACTTAAGGGTGCTGATTGGATTGTTAATGAAATGAAGAAGTCCGGCCTTCGTGGACGTGGTGGTGCTGGTTTTCCATCTGGTCTTAAATGGTCTTTTATGCCAAAAGTTTCTGATGGTCGTCCTTCCTACCTTGTTGTTAATGCTGATGAAAGTGAACCTGGAACCTGTAAAGACAGAGAGATTATGAGGCATGATCCGCACAAACTATTAGAGGGTTGCTTGATTGCTGGTGTGGGGATGAGGGCTACTGCTGCTTATATCTATATAAGAGGTGAATATGTGAACGAGCGCAAGAACCTTGAAAGGGCCAGAAAAGAAGCTTATGAAGCTGGGCTGCTGGGAAAGAACGCATGCGGATCTGGCTATGACTTTGATGTTCATATCCATTATGGTGCTGGTGCTTATATTTGTGGTGAAGAAACAGCACTTCTGGAGAGCCTTGAAGGGAAACAAGGGAAGCCCAGATTGAAGCCTCCTTTCCCAGCTAATGCAGGTTTATATGGATGCCCCACAACTGTTACAAATGTTGAAACTGTAGCTGTTTCTCCAACCATTTTAAGGCGTGGGCCAGAGTGGTTTGCCAGTTTTGGGAGGAAGAACAATTCTGGGACAAAATTGTATTGTGTGTCGGGACATGTCAATAAGCCTTGCACTGTTGAAGAGGAGATGAGTATACCCTTGAAAGAGTTGATAGAGAGGCACTGTGGGGGTGTTAGAGGTGGATGGGACAATTTACTTGCTATAATTCCAGGTGGCTCATCTGTCCCACTTCTTCCCAAGCACATTTGTGATGATGTTCTCATGGATTATGATGCACTCAAGGCCGTCCAATCAGGACTGGGAACTGCAGCTGTTATTGTGATGGATAAGTCAACTGATGTTGTGGATGCAATTGCAAGACTCTCGTACTTCTACAAGCACGAGAGTTGTGGCCAGTGCACACCCTGCAGGGAGGGAACAGGATGGCTTTGGATGATCATGGAAAGACTGAAAGTTGGGAATGCTAATTTGGAAGAGATCGACATGCTTCAGGAGCTCACCAAGCAGATTGAAGGGCACACAATCTGCGCATTGGGCGATGCTGCTGCTTGGCCCGTTCAGGGTCTTATTAGGCATTTTAGGCCAGAGCTTGAGAGAAGGATCAGAGAGCGTGCAGAGAGGGAATTGCTGGAGTCTGCCGCTGCTTAGTTGTCTCACAGGTAGCTTCTTGCACCTTTTCTGGTTTCCTTTCTTGAAAGGATATCAAATGCTAACAACACTATAGGCAGAATATGGAGACACGTGCTTGCCTAGTATATTTTCATTTGATTAGAGGTCATCAAGTCGTAATCTATTCTATTTGGTGTTTTCTTGTTGTAACTGGAGACAAGAAACCACTGCTTGGATAAAGTATCAAATGCTTAGAATGCGAGAATAAAATAATAGTGGTGACAGTATGTTTTTGCATCAGCAATTAGTAGCTATGATTCATCATTGTTTGAGTCACTGCAGTTGAATTAGGAGCATTGTAGGCGGTGAGTCCATACAAACCACAGCCTTGAGGTGGAAAAGAATATCAGTTGATGACGCCATACGAACTGTATTGTTTAAAAAAATTCTCAAATGATGGCACCATAAAAAGTTTGCTGTTTATGTAGTTCAACGTGCCCTGTATTAGGTTTTTTGAAAACTCTCCTACACGAAACAAAATTGGCATCCAAAGATGGAATCAGTATTAGTCTATCAACTACTCTACCCTTATTTATTGTCATCATTAGAGCATCCCCAATGCAATGTTATAATTGATGTGCCAATTGTAAATTTAGTATTTTAGTGCAAAAAACACTCTCCAATTTAGTTGTGCCAAATTTCTCATATGTTATACTTTGTGGTAAATTTCCCACCAAGTATAGCATATGAGAAATTTGACATTTGATTGCTATTGTTTGAAATGTTTACTTTTTCATGTAATCATTGTAACTTTTGCATTTTCTAATTATTTTAAACATAAAAGTTTATTTTTACCACTTTCAAAGCTTAATAATTATGTAAAAAAGTAGATTTAACATTTCAAATAGCATTATGCATTGGAGCAAAAATGAAAATAGCACATCATATCACATTTTTGGATGGTAAATATACAATTGGCATTAGCATTTGTATTAGAGATGGTCTAAGGATGCTGCTTACATCTCTTGAGACGCTTTCTTTTTATGTTCTTCATTTGTCTAATAACCCATTCTTCGTCCACTTTGCAGGAAAATTCCTACATCGGTGAAACTCGCAGGAGAAAGGAAAGCTAAATAAAAAGAAAAGATGAGTGCTCCAGATTGCTGAAGATTAGGCGACTCAGCTATTTTATTTGTTTTTCAGCTGTATCAAGCATGACTTCATTGCCGTCCTGATGAAACTATGATTTACTCGGGATTTTCTGGTTGAGCTTATACCGTTTGATGAATTTTGTTAATATCTGTATTTTGTCATTTATGTGACACGAACTATCTATTTGTGCTTTATCAATAAAAAAACCATACTCGTCCCTTCAATCATGGTTTCTTGGTGTTAGAAATGGAGCCTCGGTTCTTTGATGCGCCACAATGGACATGTTATTTTATTTTATTTTCGGGTTCAAGAGGAAAAATAAAGGCCTCGTTTATTTCACCGATTCAAGTTTTTAATTCTAGATTTCTACAGTAAAAAATTCTTAGAAAATATCACATATAATTTTTTTTGTTACAATAAAAAACTCTCTGAAAATGTCACTTCTCAGCTCGAATTGAAAACTCAAATCTGCGGAGTGAATGAGGTCAAAGGCTACACGTTCCAATTTTATGTAACAAATCATAACTCATCAGATTTCTGAAGAGTACTAAGTCTCCTTTAACCAACACCAAGAGCTATAATTTTAAACGACTTCCATTTATACTTCAACTTTAGATGAGGGGCTTTTATCTGCGAACAAGAAAATCTAGAGGAATGCCCCTTTAGTAGGAGAGTTTGAAGATTTGTGTGTTTTCTACTTTTCTTAAATGCTATAAGATTTATGCCATCCTTTTCTCTCAATTATAAGATAACAAAACAATAAAAAAGCCGAGTAATGGGGGGGTAGATATTCTAATCTTCTCATGAAAACAAACTACAAGCCACACACAAAAGGGAAAAAAAAAAAAAAAAAAAAAAAAAGATTTTGGGCCGAAGTGTGTGGATGGAATGAGCCCAACGGTCTAGATTTATGGGCCAAATTGAATCACGAACTGGGCCAGAAGACAAGAAGTTGGTAAATTCGGCTTTGGATACTTTTCTTCCCCTGTTCCCCCGTGAAAGGCGTTTTTAATCCATTCATTTTCAATCAAACGACCTTTTCTTCAACTTTCAGCTTTCACTTAATCTTTTCGTACGCATTTTCCACATTTTTTACCCAATAAGGAAATTTCTTCCCACATATATTAATTACATTTGTTGTCAGAAAAGCAAGTTCGTCCAGCTCTGACAAAGCATGTACAGAGATCAACATCAACAACAAAAACAGCGTCGTCTTCTTCTTCATCATTCTCTTCTGCAATAATTTGATCCCTGTATATTTAGCCAAACCAATATATATATATATATATATATATGCACACACACTATCACCGACTGAGAAACTCTCTCTCTCACACCATTGTTAGTGTAAGTACATTTCTTCGCTTAGCTATACATTGATCAAAATTGTCTTGCGTTTTTTTTTTTTTTTTTTTGCAGTAATGTTTTCGAAGTTTCACTCTTTGGATAAATTATTATGCCGTTCATACTTGCTGTTTTCGGATCTCCATTTTCGTGATGGAATAAATGATAACGAGTCTTATTACTTCAGTTTTCTTCATTTTTCTTGGATTCACTTCATGTCTTCCTCAAATTCTGGTTGTCGTTTTTCGTTTCTTCTTTTCAGCTTGTATTTTGATCAAGGCCGAGCTTTATTATAGATCTATATCTCGCCTTTTTTTTTATCCCTTTTTTTTCCCCTGGTCGGCTATGTTCAACTGAGTTTGACTGGTTCTTTAGTTCTCTCTCTCTCCCTCTCCATCTTTAATTATTTACTTTCAATAAAGAGTTATGAGGTAATTGATTGATTAAATTAATCATGTTTTGCTAATTAGCTTGTCGTTTATGGTGTCTCTCTTCAACGTATCCAGTGTGTAGTTGGTCTATGTTTTCTAATGCCCGATCAAATGAGTGGTGTGGGTCACACCCAAGAAAAAAAAAAAAAAAAAAAAAAAAAAAAAAAAAAAAAAAAAAAGAAAAGAAAAGAAAAGAAAAAGTGTGATACCTCCTCACGTTCTTATTTATTTGTAATATAACCAAGTCAGGCTTTTTAAGTTTATTTAGTATAGTATGTTAATTCATATGCTAGGAAAAGAAATGGCCTTTAATCTTTTTTTTTTAATCTTATTTGTAATGCCAATTTGTCTTGTTGAGTCTTACCTGATTTTCTATTTTTTTTTCTTTATATTTAGATCCATGGATAGAGGCATTGTAATTGGTCATGCCCATTAAGAGCAATACCAAGTATTTCCCAGTTAAGGAGCCAAACCAAAGTCATGGTTCTTGGAATAAGATCGAAGAGTCGAAAAAGTGTTACGATCGAGGTTGATTACCTCATCCATGTCCAAGAGATCAAGCCTTGGTCCTTACCTCAGTCTCAGAAATCAGCTCTATCTGTGTTTCTTCAATGGGAAAATGGTGATCAAGCTTCTGGATCCTTAACTTCCGGTGTCGGAGATGGGAAGATCGAGTTCGCCGAGTCTTTTAGGCTTCCTGTCGTGTTATGCAAGGAAGCATCGAAGAAAGGCCAAGCCCGTGAAAGTTACCAGAAGAATAATCTAGAGTTTTACTTGTATGAAACTCGAAAAGACAAGGCAATGAAAGGTCAACTCTTGGGGTCTGCTGTGATAAACCTTGCAGATTACGGGATTATCAGGGAGACCATTAGTGTGACTGCGCCAGTGAACTGCAAAAAGAGTTCTAAGAACTCGGGACAACCAGTTCTTTACATCAATATTCAGCCATTTGGTAATGCTAGCTCTGGCTCATCGCCCATGGGAAGCTTGTCAAAAGAAGCTTCTCTAGATAATGATGGAGGTGAGACTGTCTCGGAAGCTATACTTGATGGGAATGATGAAGAAGCCGAGATCGCCTCTTTCACCGATGATGATGTTGCCAATGATGTCTCTTCACACTCGCCGCACATCATTAACTCTTCTGCTTTTGAGACAACAGTCAGTTCAACACCAAATAGTGTAAAGGTATGGAATTCTGTATTGGTTCATGAAATTACACTGGGAAGGATATTCTCATCACACATTTAATCCATAGGTGTGGAGTAGAATTTTGTTTTAACATTCCCGTTTCTTGAGTCCAACCCAACAAATATGTTATTTGGGATGTTTATGTAACAATACAGTAGGAAATTTCTGTTCCAATCAAATGGTGGACAGTTGTCATGTTTCATGTATAGAGAATGTTTGACCTTACCTATGTCCAAACTGATTGGCTTCTTAATTATGTCGGAGCAAGTTGAGTTTGTATGCTTTTTCTAAAACTATGTGCAATTGAATTGCAGATTGAACCAGAAACAACAAAATACGAAGTTGAAAGGAATGCTGGGGAGCTAAGTATAGCTTCAAGAGTTGAACCCGCAGCAAATACAGGGTCAATTCCTTTAGCTAAAACAGTGAACACCCGAAATGAAAGTTCGCCATATATGTCAACAATAGGCTACTCCTCCAATCCCGGGAATCCTGCAAATGATAATGTTGCTTTTCCCTACATTCCTCAGGATAGGTCAGTGCCAATCCTAAAAAAGTCTCTAACCCATGTTGTTAGGTCTTCTTCATCCCTAGGCTACCAAGATGATCCACACAAGGCTGTTAATAAAGTGAGAGTCGATGGCAGACACCAAATGCGAAAATATGCTCAGGAATCCAGTAAAGACAATATTGTTGCTAACCTTACAAATAAACTTGCATCATCAAGTTTGTACAGTCAAGAGGGCGCAGAAAGAATCCATAAGGATTTACAAGCCACTCAAGAGGAGGACAAAAATGTTTGGAGACGGACCGAAGATGGCCAGGAGGAGGCTAGTACAAATGACTCGTCTACATACAGCAGTAGACATATTGGAGTCGCTCGTAGTATTGTCAAAAATAACAAATTAAAGCATGTCAAATCAGTGCAGTTACCTTCTGAAACAACTAAGACGAGTAGACCATTAGTGTTCGACAATACTGAGTTTATTGAAAAGCCAAAGAGAGCTGAACTGTCCAAAGGAACTCATGATGATGGTATGACTAATGCATTGAGTATAGAAGAGGAAACAAAAAGCAGTGTTTCTAATCGCAAAGGTGAACTTAAGGCCGAAATCGAAATGCTCAAAGAAGAGTTGAGAGAAGCTGCGGCTGTTGAGGTTGGTCTATATTCTGTTGTTGCTGAGCATGGGAGCTCCACAAATAAAATACATGCTCCTGCTCGACGAATTTCTAGATTCTATTTTCATGCTTGCAAAGCGAGCTCCCTGGCAAAGAAGGCAAATGCAGTTAGAGCTGCTGTTTCTGGATTTATTTTGGTTTCTAAAGCATGTGGGAATGATGTTCCAAGGTATGCCCATGTCCATTTATGATCTCTGGAAACAAAAGGCGCTAATCACCACGAATGTTTAAAACTATATTGATGAGTTTTAGATTTTCCCCCTGATATTTAAATTTGTCCTCTGTGTTATTGACATTTTTGTCAATTGTCTATCTACAAACAGGTTGACTTTTTGGTTGTCAAATTCAATCATGTTAAGAGCTATTGTTAGCCAGACTGTTGGGAACCTCTCTGATGGACCAGGCGTTGACAATAGTGGTATATTGGGACAAAATGGGTTCACTCCTCAAAGAGAAGAGAAGAAAGCCAAGAAAGAAAGTATTGATGACTGGGATGACCACCAAACATTCCTGATTGCATTGGAAAAGTTTGAATCTTGGATCTTCTCCCGAATTGTAGAGTCTGTCTGGTGGCAGGTTAATCCATATTATTTTCATCTTTCTTCATCATTTTCTTTCATTCTTTTTAATTTTCTATTTGCTTCTATGAATATTTAGCCAAATCTAAGAGTCTAATCACCAAGCTTGATATTGGTTCTTGAATTTGCTCTCCAGACTATGACTCCACATATGCAGCCTGCAGCTGCAAAGGGCTCCAGCTCACGGAAATCTTCTGGAAAAAAGTATGGTTTTGGTGATCATGAACGGGGAAATATCTCTATCGAGCTCTGGAAGAAGGCTTTCAAAGATGCCTGTCAAAGGCTTTGTCCTTCTCGAGCTGGTGGTCATGAGTGTGGCTGCTTGCCTGTGATAGCTCGCTTGGTATGTTTGCAGATCAAAATATTATTGTTCAGTATTCAGTGTTAAGCTTCCTAATTAATGCACTAACTTCTAGAGCAATGGCGTCTTTAAGTACCATATTAGCATGTACCGATGTCCAGATTTTTGTTTTAACTATTTTCATTTGTGCAGCCACTGAAAATGCGTTTTGAAAAATATATTATGTGTCGTGTTTCAGGTTATGGAGCAATTAGTGGATAGATTAGATGTGGCAATGTTCAATGCTATTCTTCGTGAAAACGCCGAAGAGATGCCAACAGATCCTGTATCTGACCCCATAAGTGATTCTAAGGTTCTTCCCATTCCCGCCGGAAGATCAAGCTTTGGGGCTGGTGCACAGCTAAAAAATGCGGTGAGCATGATGGATGGTTTGTTTTGCAAAGGTTATTTTGGTATCAGGGTTGATCAATGTTTCAATGAAATTTCACCTGTACTAATACCCATTTGAACTCCCAATTAGTTATAGAGATTTCTTTTACAATGTATGTCATGGTACTTTCCAAGAAAAGCAAAAGCATTGCAGTATTCCTGTTTTGTTCTAATGGAAGCAACATTTTTTTTCTCTTCATATTTACAGATTGGGAGTTGGTCTAGGTGCCTTACCGATATATTTGACATTGATGACGCTCCTGAAAATAAGAATGAACTCAATGATGAAGAGAAGCCGGAGTCTCAAAGATCCTTCAAAGCTTTCCGTCTACTAAACGCTTTGAGTGACCTCATGATGATTCCATTTGAAATGCTTGCAGATAAATCCACCAGGAAAGAGGTATAATCCTAAGAACGCGGTCTGTTTCTTCCAAGTTAATTTTTGTAACTATTCTATTGAGTTCCCCTGTAATCTCATCACTGTTCGATTAACTCTTTCTAGGTATGCCCCGCACTTACTCCACCATTGATCAGGATGGTTCTTTACAATTTTGTCCCAGATGAGTTTTGCCCTAACCCCATTCCCGATGCAGTTCTTGCGGCTTTGGATTCCGAGGTAACTAATTCTATGGCTTGCTTGCTCCTGCATGTCTGTAGAAAGATGTAGGAATTGTTTCGTCTGATTAGTCATTTCATTATTCTAATGGAACTTTCGAAAAATAAAAACTCGTATTGCGAGCTTTAAATTCAGTTGCACTAAAAATTGAGTTGCACTAATCGACGTCTTTCCTTATTTCCCACTAAATTTAGGATGATTTTGAGGTTGACGAAGAATCTGTTACAAGTTTCCCATTCACTGCAAATCCTACAGTCTATGCACCCCCTTCAGCTGCTTCACTATCACACATTATAGGAGAAGTGGGAAGTCAAACTCTCCTGAGGAGTGGATCATCTGTGCTCAGAAAATCATATACCAGTGACGATGAGCTCGATGAGTTGGATTCACCCATTATTTCAATCATCAAAGAAAATATGCAGGAAAAACGAAAGGATAATCGACCAGTAGTGAGATATCAACTCCTTCGTGAAGTATGGAAGGACAGTGAATGACAATATATCACCTTTCTCTTAGTGCATTCTTGTACAGGTCATGTATGTATTTCAGCACCTGGGCTTGGTTGCGTTTAACCTGTTCTATTTTTTCTTTTCCTAAATCTATATTTATGGTACCATATAGATTTTCAAGACCCATTGATTGAGAGCTGTAAATATCCGGTTTTGAAGTCTTTTTATTGGCTGAGTGGTTGAAATTTTTGCAGTATTATTTTTAAGTATCGGTGCAGTTCTCCCCATGGTGCCAGCACTTGACATGAAGACTTAAAGTCATCAAAATTTAGTTTCAATTTATCAAGGGCATAAAGCTATTAGAAAGATTGGTATACTGTTGATTAAACAAAATGCAATTATAAATAAAGATCGATGGACTATCCACACACACACAGAGTTTAATCCGAGACAATTTATTAATATATTTCGCAGACATGCGAGTTACTTTCCAATATCTGAAGAATATACAACCAGGCACCAGCACCACAGAATCCAGAATGTCATACGCTTTTGGAAGTTACAACGGGACACATTTCAAATTTTCAATAACCTGAATATGACTTTGAGTCCTGTGAACACTATCCATTCACCAAAACCTGTACCTGCCAATTTGAGAGGCATCATGCTTCTGAAGCCTAACCAAGAGAGAATAAGAGCAAAATTATGCAGAAAAACAAGAGCAGTTTAGAATCAAGGAATCTTACATTTTCGGTTGTGCACTGCCGGTGGAACTCCGCAGTGCGTCGTAGTGTCCATAACCGTTATAAAGAACGCGAATAGGGTTGTCTTTACCGTATTCTTGACCATATTCAGCTATGATCTTGAGACTGCCAGAATTCTTGTCTCGCATGTAAACTGTGATTGGCGTCCTGATAACAATACTCGTATATTAAAGCTCTTTCGTACTTGTGGCAAAAGCTTAAATCTTTGGAATAAAAACAAAGTAAGAATTAAGCAAGCAGCTTCCACCAACCAAATGATTTCCTAAAAAATACAAGTATTAAGAGAGAAAACAAAGGACTTACTTCAGAACATGAGAGGACATGAGCAACTCAGGCTCGCCTCCCCAAATATGAGGCTGTCTCATCTGTACAACATACGTCTCAAAATCATCTTCAAGAAACCTGCCCATGAAATGTTGGTAAGACACATATTTACTATCTAATCACATATCAATGCTCTTGATAATGCTTTCTTCTTCTTCTTCTTCTTCTTTTTTTTTTTTTTTTTTTTTTTTTTTTTTTTTTTTTTTTTTTTTTTTTTTTTTTTTTTCATATCTCCGTTTTCTGCTTTTCCAACAAGCACACAAAAAATGGACCAAAAGCATGTAGTGACTAAAGTTTCCCAAGAGAACTAACCATTCAGTGTCTGCCCGCCTCTTAATGAATTCGTCTACAACCTGTTCATTATAGAAAATTTCTGTAAAGGCTATAGATCAAGAAGAAAGCAAATCATTTGGAAAATACCACCAAAAGAAAGTGGCACAAAACAGAAAGACATTCAATGCAAAACAAACTATTTAAAGAAGCACATTCCACTTAATCATCTCCATCCTTTTCCTATTGTCTCTTTGTGAATTTGGCAATCAAGGGGGAAAAAATTAAAGGAAAATATATTTTGTACTTTATCTCTAAGCTCATCTGCAAGTTCTCTCTGCCGGCTCTCGCTCGGAGGTGGCTTCCCTTCTCTTAGACAAGCACCGTGAACCACAGACCGGAACAAACATCTTCCATCACCTGGTATCCCTGTGCCAACAAAACCAAACTTTGATTATTTCATTGTTCCTATTAACATTAAATTCACTAATTAGCAGGGGATAAGGAACTCGAGAATTCCCATCATAAAGGCCCCAACTTATCAGGGGAAAAAAAAGGATTCAAATCACAACTTTGTAAAAGGTGTCAAAGCTTTAAAATTAAATATTGAGATTTGAAACAAAACAAAACAAAAAAAAAAAAAAAAAACAAAAAAAAAAAAAAAAAACAAGAAGAAGAGATATGAAAATCATGAGAGGTGGCAAACGAACCAAAGCCAAAATCCATATTGAAAAGTTAACAATCGAGCCCACAGCCTTCAAAAGCAATATCAAGAGAAAAAAAAATGGTAGGAAAGCCCAAGGTGCAAGGAAAGAATAGACTTAAGAACCAAATTTACGAAGACGAAGAAAAGCATATAAATTACAACAACCAAATTATAAATCTCGATTAATTTCTCAAGATAGGAAAAGGGAAACCCAAAAAAAAAAAAAAAGAACAAAAAAACAAAATGGTTTAATAGAAAATTAGTTCACTTTAAACATAAAGTTTGAATCTTTCTTTAGTTTGTTTCTTCTTCAACAATGGGGGAATTGGAAGGTTCAAACACAACATACAAATTTTTAAAAATCGAACGAGGTTGTTACCAAGCGAAGTTTCACGTTTCGGCATTGGAAAACCATAAACTTTGACGATCAAATCAAATCAGAGTAAGCAAACACAAGCAAATACTTGTTGGTGTAAAACAGATCGATTCTCAACACTGATTCTGAAAACCAAACAACAGATTACCGTGCAAACTAAAAAAAAAACACATACTACAACTTTAATATGCAGCCCCACAATTGCCAACCAACCTTTTCTTTTTGTTTCTGGAATCCAATTCCATGGCCTTTCACTTTCCGCACTGCGAACGGCCAAGAATTGCACTGAACGGAAGTCTCTCTCTCTGCTGCCTGCTGTTCTTGTATTTGAAGATGAATCGTACACGTGTCAAGATCTTTGGAATAAAAGATTTCTGTAAAGTAGAGCAGGTGATCAGAACCCGGAATTAAAAGACTAAACACGTGTACATATAATATCCAATCATATTGTCCCGCCAAAATCTACACCAGCCGATTAACGACCCCGTTCAAACCGCTCTTTTACTATTTTTTTTATTTCTGATTACTTTTTTTTTTTCTTCTATTAGATTAATTGCATTGTTTTTCTTTTCTAAGAGAAAATCCTCTCGTTTGTTTTTTTAGATTTGCAGGTGAGATAAGCTACAATTGCAATTTTGGATTCTGCAGTCCAAGCATCTTTTATTTGCACTGAAGGTACATTGTTTAACTCATTCTCAAAAAAAAAAAAAAAAAAGGGGGAAAGAAAAGAAAGAAATTAAGAACACTATTTTTTTTTTTTTTATGAATTTCGAAGTTGGTATTTTTAAATTAAAAAAATCATTTGGAGTCGATTTACTTCTGATTTTGCACAACCTTGTGAATTCTGGGCTGGGGCTAAACAGGACGATTATTTTTGGTGTTAAATTGCTAATTTGAGTTTATGTTTATAAAAACAATATATATTTTTTTTGCATTTATTTTAATGATCAAATAAAGAAATGTGGATGTTGTCTATAATGTGGGATTCTAGATCATGTTAAACATGTAAATAAACAGTGTTTGAATCCATCCCTGCATCTACAGTTTCTTTTATTTCAATGCAACAACCCTTTCTTCCCTTTCTTTGTTGTTCTTATAGCTTTTATTTATTACCATTTGGCTTTCAACTTTCTTAGGAACCCAATCCAAAATGAGTTCTAGGCAGCGCCCATTACATACGTGTGGTCTTTCAACAATAAAAATAGCTCTGAAAATTTCTTCTGTTGCCCAAGATCTCAGCGGGCCATTAGGCTCAATGGCAAAAAGGGTTGCTAAAACAACCTCATTTGCCATCCCATTTATCTACGCCTTGCTATATCTATGGCTAGTCCTTCTCTCTTTCGCCGACGATCACATCCTAGCAGCCGAAGACATTATTGAGAGATATTTCCCTCCTTCAAAGCATTTTTTCAACAAGATTGATGACCTTGTCCTGGTCGTGGAAAACCTTCCCGAAAAATTCGACTACGCGGTAAAAAGCTTCCCCTCCATAATCAACCAAGTCCCCTTTCTGGATTGGGCATTGGTACATGTTATCTCGTTGCTGGAGCTTCTGATCAGTATGTTGACATGTTGGGGATCCGAAGGCACAAAGGAGAAGGAGATTACGGTCGATATAAACTGCAATAACCGCGACATTGGCGAATCTGAATCTGACTTTGTTGCCGAAGCAGAACATGAATCTAAACTAGATACTGAAGCGGACCAACCGACAAAATCCCCGCTTCATGTTGAGAGTGAGGATGTCAAGGAAGACTTTCCTCCTGTATCCGAAACCCAACAGGCTGAAACCGACGCGGCTTGTGTAGGTGTTAAACCAGATGGTATGAAGAGTACTTACAAGGAAGTCCTGGAGAAGGGAAAGAACGATATGAGAACTGATCAGATTGTTAATCAGGAAGAAACTAGGGAGAAAATAGAAGACGAAAAAGTTGAGAGCCCCAAGGATGATCCAATAACAAAATTGTTTGAGTCGGGATGGCTTACAAGGCGAGGAAGAAGAGGACAATGAAGCTCAATTTCTCGCCCAAGACAGCAACAATGCAATAAGGAATTGTTTTATCATCTAAACATAGTTGCTGTGTGTATGTGAATATATATATATATATATATATATACTAGGTGCAATTTTCTACATAAAACAACAGCTCTTTCTTGATTTGTTTGGCAGTGGCATGGCAGCTATTGTTCAAATCATGGCAGCACGGTGTAAGTTCCTAATTCTTTTGTGTAAAAGAATTAATTGAACAAATAGTCTAATTGAATTTAACGTTTTTTTACATATATATATTTGTGTAAAAAGAGCTTAACAAATGTGGATTTAAACTAGTAATTGGAACAGGGGCCGCGCGAACGCAGGCCCCCACAACCACAAATAACGACGTAGGCTCCACCACTTGGGTAGACCTTAGCCCTGCACCCTCCCCAAGTGCAATGGGAGTCACAAAGCTAGGCCATGGGCCTTCTTGACCGCCCATTGACCCCGTCCAGGTAAGTAATTTGAAATTAGTGTGGCCTTTTGCTTTTATAGACCTTCGCAATCCTCCTTGTCTTATATTCTTCCGATGTGGGATTATTTACACATCACAAAAAAACTGTCACTTTTGAAATACTATTACCGTCTTTACACCCATTATATATTTTATTGAGCTTCAAAGAAAGCAAATCAGGGAAAAGAAGCTAAGAAGTGTACCTTTCAGCATTATGTGTTATATCAGGAATTCATTTCAAGAACTGAGGAAGGTATTTTGTTATGCAAAGAGGTCTAGAAAGAGCTCGCAAAGGCTGAGCCATTTGTAAGTTGAGGCCAAACTTGTCGTCCATATTGATTGTCTCCGGTGAGACCCCAGTTTCCAACTTCCAATCAAAGGAATGAAGCAGAGAACCCAACATCAAGTGAAACATCGGCGTCGCCAGTGGCAAGCCGGGCCATATTCTATGCCCACCGCCAAAGGGAATGAGCTCAAAATGGCGGCCGCTGCGATCAATATTCAATTCCAAGAACCTCTCTGGCATGAACTTATCCGGGTTTTCAGAAATGTTTTAAGTCTCTGGAAATGGCCCATACATCGATTAGCAATTGCGCACCTTTGGGGATGGTATAGCTGCAGACCTCGACCTCGCTCCAGCTTTACCGGGAAGCAGCAACAGAACTGTTGGGTGGAAACGGAAGATTTCTTTGACAATGGCTTGTAAGTAAGGAAGCCGAACTATATCTGATTCTTTCACTTTGTTTCCTTCGCCAATAACTTGATCTAGCTCTGCTTGTGCCTTCGCCAATAAATATATCTGTGGGGCTTTTAATAGCTCAGCCATTGACCACTCCAACATGGATGAAGTCGTTTCAGTCCCCGCAGAAAATATATTCTATTTCATAAACTCAATCTTATAATCAACAAACGAAAATGAACACATTACAAGTCCAACAGCTTAAGTTTTTATACAATATCTATATCAAGCAAATTCAAGAACAAATGTGAATTATACGCAGCACCAAAAGAGCTTACCAGTCATAAATGTTCAATCATAGTTCTGTCTAGCTGTTCATCCTCTCTCTTCTCTTGACCGGTCACCGTCATGTTTATAAGGGTGTCCAATATATCATCATCTTTCCAGAACCACTCACTTCTCTGAGTCGAAATCTTTCATTGATCATACGATCAAACAAGTCAAACATTTTCTTAAAGTATATTGCGGTGCGCCTTCTAATGCCTTGGGGGAATCTTCCTAAGAAAAGGGAAACAGTCGGCCAAGTTCGGCTTTCCAAGCTATTCCATGATATTTGACACAGTTTCCCTGACCTCTCCTTAAGTGTCCGAGTCTGGATCAGCCAAATCCGAAGAGAAAAAAATTGGTCGACAACATATTCATGGAAGCTCTGAAAGCTGTCCTCCCAATCTCTACCGCTTCACAGGCGTCGACGATTTTTCGGACATCACGCAGGAGCTCTTGCGCCTTGTTGTGCCTCAGGTTCATGTTAGCGTCAAGAACCTTAGCAGAAAGCAAATGGGAGTTGCAAATTTTGCGAAGGTTTCTGCAAAAGGGAACCAAGGCACGCTGAACCGGTTGTGTTCGCAGGCACGCATTACGTCCGGGATCATTCGGTTGCAGAAGAACTGGCTGTGTGTTTGCATAACTTCTTTAGCCATGGTTGGTGAGGAACAGTATGTCTGCGAAAGCCTGCCTAAGGACTTTTGGGGTTTGTCACCAAGCTCCGAGAGGTTTCCTATGATGGGAAGAGGCTTTGGACCAGGTGGAAGTTGCTTTTTGCTTTTAGGATTTGCTAATGAATTGTAGGCTTGAATTGAGAAGCAAAGGATGAGAACAAGACAAAATAAACAGGTGAAAATATCCATCTTTTCCCTGTTGCAAACAGTGGAAGATCAGCGCCCTAAGGTTAAGAAAATTGTGAGTGGGACTGCAGTTTCCACTTCACTTTTGCCGATATTTCTCAATTGTGTTTAATGTTCCTTATTCCAAAAACAAACAAAAAACAAAAGTCTGATGTTTGTTATTATTATTTTTCTGTCACGATATGATTTGAAGTTTATTGCATCAACAAAGCCTGTTTTATAAGTGTCGTGCTGGTAGTTCTACTTTACAGGTATTGGGTTGTCGATTTGATGTCGTTTTGTAATTAATTCCCTAAACGACGAGTAACTTGTCAGTTATTGGGTTTCACGACAATATTGATACGTAAAATCGACATTTCAACTAGAAATTGGGACAGGGGCCGCGCGAACGCAGGCCCCCACTGCCACAAATTATGACGTAGGCTCCACCACTTTGGGTAGACCTTAGCTTGGCACCCTTCCCAAGTGCAATGGAAGTCACAAAGCTAGGCCATGGGCCTTCTCGATCGCCCATTGACCCCGCCCAGGTAAGTATGTACCAAAATGCATGGCCCTTTGGTTTTATACACCTTCCAAACCCTCCTTTTCTGTGTTTTTCCAATGTGGGATTACTTTTACACGTCACAAACAAGCTGTTTCCTATTCGGATTTGATGCTTATTAATTAATCACGAGGGAACAATTTCAATGCCTCTCTCGCCATCACCTTTTTGATTGGAAATTGTATGGCGTTTCTTACACTTCTTGATAATTGGGAATAATCGTACGAAGTATGTGATTAAAAATGAGTGTCTGAAATATGAACAACTAGAAGGTTAGTTTGAAAATCTAGCATAAGATTTAAGAAGATAACCACACAATTAAGTCAACTTTTTAAATCTTTTAAGGGTCACGTCTATTTGATATAAGCTACTTCTATATGGGACTATAATGACTATGAATCTATTAAAATCTTAATGCTCATCTGGTAAGGGGTTCTAGGGTTTAAACACACGGGTTGAATAGAAGCTTCGTCTGGGCTTCAAAAACAGATTTGCGTTAAAATTCTGACAGAACATTTGAACCTAGTTTTGCCTATTTGAACCCATATGGTTCTTACTCTCAGAAAATCCCCCCCCCCCCCCCCTCCTCCCGCTTTTTCAAAACCCCCCCCCCCCCCCCAGTTTTGCCTATTTGAATCCATATGATTCTTACTTTGAAAAAATGTCATATTTTAACTCGAATCCGCGAAACGAACGATATCTAAGTAAATTGGGACAATTTTATAAATTAATGACTCGTTCTGAAATCTTTTAAAAGTCAAAGAATCAAAATGAAATTTAAAATTCCGAAACTAAAAATGAAATTACCCATAGATAACAACATATATATATAACGAAAAATTATATAACAACTAGATCAAAATAGATATTTAGATGTTTTATAAATCATGTCATTAATATTATAAAACTATTTTTTAGTTCTCGTTTACAGGTATAATTCCGTCGTTTGTCGAACTTCTAAACGACGAGTAACTTGTCATTTATTGGGTTTGACGACATTATTGATAGGGAAAATCGACATTTCAACTAGAAATTGGGACAGGGGCCGCGCGAACGCAGGCCCCCACTGCAACAAATAATGACGTAGGCTCCACCACTTTGGGTAGACCTTAGCTTGGCGCCCTTCCCAAGTGCAATAGAAGTCGCAAAGCTAGGCCATGGGCCTTCTTGATCGCCCATTGACCCCACCCAGGTAAGTGACTAAAACTTTTCACGGCCCTTTGGTTTTATGCACCTTCCAGATCCTCCTTGTCTGTGTTTTTCCGATGTGGGATTTTTACTCATCATCAATTAGTTGTCATTGCTGGGCTTAAATCAGGTAGCAAAATTTTAATAGTAAGGTTTAAAATTTAAGTATAGCAAAAATGTTTTAAATATTCATGTAAAATCTTAATATGATGAAAGTGTTATCAAGCAGAATGGGTCGGGTATGCTTCTCTTATCCTACTACCGTCTTTACTTTTACCTTTATACCTACCTCCATACTTGTTTTATTAGGGTCAGGGTCGGAGGATCCTTATCAAAAAGACTTTTCATATACTCTAAAGTTCCTCCACCGAATTGTAGTACGGAATCATCTCCAAAGATCTCGGTCAAAGCAGGCATATGCCAAATGTGAATACCCCCTGAAGCCACGGGCAGAACACCTGGTAGAGAAACCCTATTCACTTATTTGGGCTTCTATTGAATCGAGATATCTATTTACGCATTAAGGAAAAAAAAACCTTGTGATATTATTAACACATAAAGTAAATTGCATCAGATTAAATATATAATTCAATAACTTAATATTGATATATCATGAAAATAAACTAAAGTCTCAAAAGAAAATCCAAACATCAAAAGTAATTGATAAAATCTCAAAATCATATGAAATCACATTTTAACTATTAAAAGCTCGACGACTTCCTTCTCATTTGTGGTGCCCTAATATAAACAATATAAAATTAACTTCTTCTAAACTGCACATGGTTCTCTCACAGCTTTTTCCACTCACATTTTAATAGTCTTATAAAAAAAAGAATTAACTTGGGACAATTTATAAATTTAGAACTCAGTCATGCGACGCTTTACAAGTCAAGTGCCAAACTAGAATTTTTCCAATAATTCAAGGACAAAAACTGAGATTAACTAAATAAAAGAATATATGTATACACATATATATAAAAACTATATGACAAATAGAGCAAGATGGATATTCAGCTTTTCTTATAAATGACAGCACATTGAAATTTTAATATGGAGACTGACGTGGGAGGCAAGATGATATGAACCAACTAATAAATCTTTATTTGTTCTCCAAACTAAGCAGGTTTACAAGGCGTATTGTTTTAGGCTCCGTTTATTTCACCGATTTGAGTTTAAAATTTGAGTTTTGCTACAGTAAAAAACTCTTAAAAATAGTCACATCTAACTTTTTTACTACAGTAAAAAGTTTTCATATAAAGTCACATCTCAACTCGAATTAAAAACTCGGCCCTTAATTTCTTCTTTTCTGCGTGGTAAACAGACATGCACCTTTAGTCTCGTAATAGTATTATTATCAGCATCATCATCCATTATTATTTATCAGTAGCATGATGATACACACTAGTATTTGTTAGTATTGTTTATTAAGAGCATGATGATGTAATAACATGTAGAGAAAATTAGAGAACTGGTTTTAGAGTGCACGACTCTGAATTTTTTTATTTATTAGTCTTAATTAATACTTTTTTGACTAATATAATTATTTAGTTATAAAAAATATTAATTAAAATTTTGTCTCTTTTCTCCTAACATGTGTCCTACAAATGGTTTCACATGGACCCAACACTAATATTTGGTCGTCGCGCTGTAGGAATAGCTCGCAAATGTTGGGCCATTTGTAAGGTGATCCCAAACTTTTCTTCCATGTTCATAGTTTCCGGTCTAACCCCATCCTCCAACTTCCAATCAAAGGAGTGAAGCAAAGAACCCAGCATCAAGTGCAACATTCGCGTTGCCAATGGCAATCCAGGACATATTCTGCGCCCAGCACCGAAGGGAATGAGCTCAAAATCCCGGCCTCCAAAATCCATATTCAATTCCAAAAATCTCTCTGGCATAAACTTGTTGGGATTTTCCCAAATGCTGGGGTCTCTCCCCATGGCCCATACATTGACTAGCACTTGAGAATCCTTCGGGATGGTACGCCCGCAGACTTCGACATCACTTTCAGCTTTGCGAGGAATCAGAAACGGAACCGGAGGATGCAAGCGGAGGGTTTCTTTGACAATGGCTTGCAAATAAGGGAGTCGAGTTATGTCTGATTCTTTCACTTGGTTTCCTTTGCCAATAACTTGTTCTAGCTCCGCTTGCGCTTTTGACATGATCTCTGGGGCTTTTAGTAGCTCAGCCATTGACCACTCGAACGTGGATGTAGTGGTTTCGGTGCCAGCGCCAAATAAATCCTTTTTCACACATTTCAAATTTATAATCAAACAACTAAAAGAAACGTTATAAACGCAAATTCAAGCAAAAGAAAGCATATATGGTACTAGAATCTTGTTATTTTTTTCTTTGGATTTGGTCAGAAATTGCACTGTAGTACTGATTAAAATCTCCTTCTCTGTCTTGAGGTTTTGTGCCAATAATTCGATTGGATTTTATTGGGTCCTTGATCCACAGATTAAACAATTATTACTCTTAAAAATTCATGTGTGAGAGTAATAACGCGACTTCTTGATACACAGTTTGATGGAATTGTCAGAAAAAATTCTTCATCAATTTTAGAAACATCATAGTAATAAAACCTTCAAACTGCAGGTTGAAGGTCAAAATGAGACAAGTCTAATCTTTTAGGGGCTTCTTTGAAAATAATCTTAAATCTTATAGAAGTAGTGAAGAGCTTGCTTACCAGTAATAAATGTTCAATTGTATTTTTGTCTAGGTGATCATATTCTCTCTTCTCTTCACCGATCACCATCATGTCGATAAGAGTGTCCAGAATATCATCGTATTTCACAGAACTACTCGGTTTTCTGAGTCGCAACCTTTGGTCAATGGCACGATCGAACAAGTCCAACATTTTTTGGAAGTGAATACTGATGCGCCTCCTAATGCCTTGGGGGTCAATCTTCTTAAGAATCGGGAAATAATCAGCCACGTTCGGTTTTCCCAACTCTTCAGATATGCCGTGCACAGCCTCCATGAGCTCTCTTACGTTGTCGGAATTTGAATCAGCTAAATCCATAGAGAAAAAAGTTGTCGACAAGAGATTCAAAGTAGCTTTGAAAGCAGCTTTCCCAAACTCGACAGCCTCACCGACCTCGACGCTTTGATGGACATGACGTAGGAGCTCTTGTACCTTGTTGTGCCTCAGATTCATGTTGGCATCAAGAACCCTAGCAGCAAGCAAGTGGACAGTGCTTATTTTTCGAAGCTCTCTCCACAAAGTTGAGACAGGCGAGAAAACCACGCTGACCTGGCTATGATCGGTTGCGCGGGCGGCTTCTGTGATTGTTCGGTTGGAGAAGAATTGGCTGTGTGTTTGCATGACTTCCTTAGCCATGGTTGGTGATGAAACGACAATAGTTGTTAGTTGGCCGAGTTTAAGACACATAATCGGACCATAAGTCTGGGAAAGCCTGGCCAAGGACTTGTGGGGTTTGTCACCGAGCTCCAACAGGTTTCCTATGATGGGAAGAGGTTTTGGACCAGGTGGAAGTAGATCTTTGGTTCTGGGCCGATTTGCAAATGAATTGAAGGCTTGAATTGAGATACAAAGGATGAGAACAAGACACAATAAACTGGTGAAAATATCCATCTCTTCCCTGTTGCAAAACAGCGGAAGAATAACACCCGAAGGTTAAGAAAATTGTGAGTGGGACTATATATTTTCCACTTCATTAATTTGCCGATGTCTCAATGACGTTTACTGTTCCTTGTTCCAAAAAAAAAAAGGCCTGACTTTTGTTAATATTATTTTTTTTGTAACGGATATAGTTTGATATTTGTTGCACCATTAATTAGAC